GGAAGAGAGCAATATATCGATATATCAATGTTTACATATCATAGGAACAATAGCGTACAAATAATATAAATTGGCATTTGGAAGTCTGAAGGGGTTGTTTGTTCGCTAATTTAAATTATCCTTGCTTTCTTCATAACGACGTTCGAATGACATTCGCATTCAGTATCTCTCGACACGGCATTGTCTAAGCCAGACTAGGAACAGAATCACATTTGTGAGGGTTGTATAATTAATATCGTAAAATGTGCTTAATTAGGTAAATACAACACTTGACATAATAGAATTGAACTTAAGTATTACTTATTAACTTAAGTAAAATCACAGTCGTTCCAAACTTGGCCTTGGAGCTCAGACGGTAGAGCATCGTTCTAGAAATGCGAAGGTCGCGGGTTCGATTCCCACCGCGGTCAAGTAGAATTTTCTGCTTGCCCGGTTGGTTATACTTGTGCAGAAGAACAAATACACCTTACATATATATATATATATATATATATATATATATATATATATATATATATATATATATATATATATATATATATATATATATATATATATATATATATATATATATATATATATATATATATATATATATATATATATATATATATATATATATATATATATATATATATATATATATATATATATATATATATATATATATACAAGTCTCCTTCAATGCACGGAGAGAAAGAGAGATCGATTCATCATTTTGAAAATTCATATTGGAGAGAATTTCGCCTCTGCCAATATCGCCGAGTAATGATCAGAATGCTGTTATTGTCTTTTCTTTGCCTTGCAGAATTAAAATGCAATTTTTGCAGCATGGTAACAATACAAACATGTAATATAACCGCAATTTCTGAAACTTTAGCGTTAAAGCTGAACTATTGTTACTGTATATCTCAGTCTAAATTTCTTCGTACCGAAACACAATTACTATTGCATGGGCAGTTGTTTTTCTTTACTACTACTACTAAATTCAGAGACATACAGTAACACTAGTTTAGCTTTAACGCTAAAGTTTCAGAAATTGCGGTTATATTGCATGTTTGTATTGTTACCATGCTGCAAAAATTGCAATTTAATTCTGCAAAGCAAAGAAAAGACAATAACAGCATTCTGATCATTACTTGGCGATATTGGCAGAGGCGAAATTCTTTCCAATATGAATTTTCAAAATGATGAATCGTTTTCAATATCTATATCTTTCTCTCCGTGCATTGAAGGAGACTTGTATATATATATATATATATATATATATATATATATATATATATATATATATATATATATATATATATATATATATATATATATATATATATATACATATACATATATACATATATATAGTCTGTTGCTATTCAATTCTATTATGTCAAGTGTTGTATTTACCTAATTAAGTACATTTTACCATATTAATTATACAATCCCTCACAAATGTGATTGTGTTCCTAGTCTTGCTTAGACAATGCCGTGTCGAGAGATACTGCATGCGAATGTCATTCACACTTCCAAATGCCAATTTAGAAGTGAATATAAAGTAGAAATATAAAAATAATGATTTTCGGGAGCTTTTCGGTTGGGTTATATTTTATAAAAAAAGATAACTATATATAGGCACGCCAATTTGAGGCGGATAACGCAAATTGAGGCTTGATAATTCTCGATATCATGCGAAAACCAAATTCAATAATTGTTTCCTTTTTAGAGAGGAAGCTTGCGCCATATTATTGACAACAAACTATGGCGGCAAAAATTACGTCAACAACGGATAATTTTCAATGTCGTGCAGGTGGCAAGACATCGAGAATTATCACAGGGTGCCCGCCTTAGCGTTTGTTATTAAAATATCGCTTTAAAAACTAATGCTGCAAAAGATGACAAGAAACGACTTGCAGTTGAATTTAGGAATATATTCGACGAGAAAAACAACCTTCAGTTGAATTTAAAAAGTAAATTCCGAGGTAAATTTGACAACAGTCTACATGAATTGCAACTTTGTTATAAACGTACATGAAGTACTTCAGCGTGGAGCCTTAAGCACTGATGTGTTGGACCGCGAGCGCAACAAGTGACGTCAGGGCACACGCTGGGAGCGGAAAAAGAATAAAGGGATGAAATCATGTGCTCCGCTCCGCAGCCTCCGCGCGCATATAGCCTGGACAGCTCGTATATTGTCGGGAGTCATCAGGTTTATGCCGAAACCAAAAACGCGCGAAATTTAAACTTCAAACAATGATGCTCGGTGGTGACAGGGTTTTGCAGGAATTTGAAGAAATCGTTGATACAACTGTGCGTAATAAAGCAAATGCGTTAAAAGAAAGACGTATAATTAATTGGTAAGTGTTTTTCTTTATATCATTGCTCAGCGATGCGTAAACTGTCCACTTTAGCGTGACGGTCTAATATACACACAAAGCGTAACAAATTTATGGTGATATTTAATATCTGATAGGATGTTAAAGACGTATATGATGTGTCATGGCACACATAACATTTCAGTTTTTAAATTAACCGACGATGTTAATCAATTTTATCTACAACATCGAAAGAGAATAATCGTCCTTTGAAAGAACACGAGCTCGGGCGGATTATAAAGCGTGTATTTCCCACAATAAAAAAAGCCAAAATAACTGTTACTAAAGATGGGATGACGAAACGTGAACCAGTGTACGAAGGAATATGTGTTGTTGAATCAACACAAAAATTTCTGAGCTGGGATGACGTTAAAAATTATTCTCCCGCAGGGGCGTAACTAGAACGATAATTGGGGGGATGAATATTCATATATTCAGTTCTGCCCGACGGATTTCTATTGTAGGCTATTGCAATTACAAAAGAAATCCGTAGGGCAGAACTGGATATATGAATATTCACCCCCCCCCCCAATTATCGTTCTAGTTACGCCACTGTATCTCCCGAAGCAATGTTCGCGAACAAGTGGACACTATCAAAGGCAAAGGAAACTGATGAATACGTGGAGTGGATAAATGTATCCTGCGATTCTTGCAATGGCGAAAGAGTCGTGAAGTCTCTGATGATTTTCAACAATTTTTCGTTCAAATTTTTCATTGGGTCACACGAAGTTGAATTAGAGGATCATTGTACAGTCATCCGTCAATCATTATTTAGATGGTCTTTTTCCTACTTGTTCAGCGTTCCAATATGTAATGGCTTTTCCGTTGAAGTGGACAAAAAAACTACTGATAAATCTGGAAATGTTGTAGGATTGACAGAACGGTGGTCAAATTTATCAGATAGCGAGTCGACATCACTGCGACACCGAGCAATTAATTGTGCATATATTTTCTCTGAAAAAGATGTGCTGCGGCTGTTCTACAATAAAGCACAATTCATACTATAAAAGTTTGAAAGAAAGTCATGCGTGCAAAGAGAAAGCTCTTTTCGCACCACAAAAGAGGGAAACGTACATGGGCGAAGAGGAGCTCAAAGAAAACTACAACAAGAAAAGAGAAGGCGCATAAATTGTGAACGTCGTGAACGATTCAAGCAGGATATTATAGATAACATGCACACATTTGCAGAAGAAGATAGCAACGACTTTAATACGATGTTTAGTAATATTGACGAGAATGAACTGAACCCAGACTTGAAAGTGTTTTGGGAAGCACAAAAGAAGGCCATGGAAATGAAAGACGGAAGAGAAAACAGATGGCATCCAAAGTAAGTGTACATGTATATATTTTTTATATTGTTAGCTTCTTTGGATAATTTTATGATTTGGCTGATGTATTGTACGTATTATAGAATAACTACACCGAGCTTATACTATATTAGACCTTGTTATTTGATATTCGTATCATTTATAGCACTTTCCAGTTGGGGATTTTCCCTGAAATATAAACAAACTGGAGAGTACAGAGCTGTTGATACCTTATTAAATCATTCCATGGAATTTATATAGAGTAATAAGCATGGCCTTCGAATAATAAATGTGTATATATTTTTTTATTATTTAGGATAATTCGCCTTTGTCTGTCATTGTGGATAAAAAGCCCAAAAATCTATGAAGAGCTAAGACAAAGTGGTGTTGTTGTTTTTCCTTCTTGGATGTTACTTTCTTTATACAAGAATTCAGTGAGCCAAAAGCCCAAAACCCAGGTCTTAATGACGATGTCTTAAATTGGATGATAGGAGAGGCGGACAAGATTAAACTGACCGCATTTGGCAGAGAAGGTGGTCTTATTTTAGACGAAATGTCAATACAGGTAAACCAGATTTTTTGATAAGTTGATCTCGTGAATAGTAAAACCAGTTTTACTTTGTGCAGGGAGAGAAAGGATTGTTTTTATTATAATTTTGTCCTTTTCTTCTTTTTATATACAGCTTAATTCAGTTAGGTTTGTCCAAAATGTTTTAAAACCTTAATTAAACTATGATTGTGCAAAAGATGATAGGTTATCGCTTATATATGCCCTAAATAATCAGTTCTCTTGCACTCATTGTTCAACCTTTAGTATTGAGTAAGACACGTCAAGTGTTTCCTGCCAGTCAGTCAGATTGTATCTCACATAATTGTATTTTGAATTAAACTGGTCACAATATTAATACATTTTGTGTTCCAATTTTATGTGATTACTGTCAATAAATTGTAAATGTACAGTGTGTCATATTAATATGAGTTTTGTAAATTTCATTTTCACAGGAAGATCTTCAAATGAAGACAAAAAATGGGATAACAACACTAGTTGGTTGTTCAGCTTGGTGAAACACATAATTATATGAATGCTTTGAGCACAGGTATTATGACAACATGTCTTCAATTAACATTGTTGTAATTTTAGAGAGCAATGAGCAAAATCAGTCATGTAATGGTTGTATTTGGGTGAATATTTATAACAACTTCTTGTACAGCTTACTAATATAACCATGTAATTATGTAGTAGAGGTAGCTAGTAGATAGCAACTGCCTTCTCCCCCCCCCCCCCCAACACACACACATATGTGTGTTATCCCATTTTTTGTCTTCATTTGAAGATCTTCCTGTGAAAATGAAATTTACAAAACTCATATTAATATGACACACTGTACATTTACAATTTATTGACAGTAATCACATAAAATTGGAACACAAAATGTATTAATATTGTGACCAGTTTAATTCAAAATACAATTACGTGAGATACAATCTGACTGACTGGCAGGAAACACTTGACGTGTCTTACTCAATACTAAAGGTTGAACTATGAGTGCAAGAGAACTGATTGATTTAGGGCATATATAAACAAGCGATAACCTATCATATCTTTTGCACAATCACAATCAAAGTTTGACATGTTTTGCATGTGAGTTTGAAATATTGATCCCTTGCCTTGTCTTGTCATAAAGCGATTCTGATCAATTCACTATACATATAAATAAGGACAAAAAATATAGTATATACAAATATGAACATTGAACTTTATAATAGTTACAAAGTACCCACTCGTTTTCACTCTGGTTTTTCTTTCTTTATATTTAGTGCCATCTTTCCTGGTTAATAACTGCCCAACGTTACTTAACACAGTTCTGTGAACCATTGGCAAATAATCCCAATGTTCCACAATGCACGCAGCATCCTTACCCTCATACGTATACTTCCCTGCACACTCAAGGATTTCCTTACAGCAACGATATTCCCTTGCGCTACTGAGGTGACGATCGTTGCACCGTCCACATTGACACCTATATTGTATTAATAGAGTGCCTTCAATGAAAAGTTTAGTTTAGGATGAACCAAATAATAGCGCGACTCACCATGAGTTCACTGGCACGTCCTTGCTCCATCTTTTCCCGAGCGTCTCGGAAGAAATGCCATCCTCGTCGTCTGTTGTACTCTCGTCAAACTCATCGCCGCTACTAGCAAGCGGTTCGTTTGAATAGGGTACAATAAGAGACGATTGCTCTAGAATTTCATCCTCGCTAGCGCTTTCTTGTGAAGATGAATTCGAGCTCGAAGAGCGTTCGCTTTCCTTAAAAACTTCCATCGCAGTAGCCATATTTTGCTAGGATTGTTTATTATGTTTATCGTGCGTGATTGTCGTCGTGTCCATTTGCATACGTCACAAAACATCATACTCATCCCCAGGCTCCATAAAAAATGGTCACTTAAAACTCTAACTTTAGGTAGCTCTATCTCGGTCACTAATATACGAAATTTTATAAAACAATTTTTCTACTTTCCGTCTATCCCTAATCTATCATTTTAAAACAAAAAAAATGTGATTTTTTCACTTCATAGACACTTTAAGGTTTTAAAACATTTTGGACAAACCTAACTGAATTAAGCTGTATATAAAAAGGAGAAAAGGACAAAATTATAATAAAAACAATCCTTTCTCTCCCTGCACAAAGTAAAACTGGTTTTACTATTCACGAGATCAACTTATCAAAAAATCTGGTTTACCTGCATGTATTGACATTTCGTCTAAAATAAGACCACTTTCTCTGCCAAATGCGGTCAGTTTAATCTTGTCCGCCTCTCCTATCATCCAATTTAAGACATCGTCATTAAGACCTGGGTTTTGGGCTTTTGGCTCACTGAATTCTTGTATAAAGAAAGTAACATCCAAGAAGGAAAAACAACACCACTTTGTCTTAGCTCTTCATAGATTTTTGGGCTTTTTATCGACAATGACAGACAAAGGCGAATTATCCTAAATAATAAAAAAATATATACACATTTATTATTCGAAGGCCATGCTTATTACTCTATATAAATTCCATGGAATGATTTAATAAGGTATCAACAGTTCTGTACTCTCCAGTTTGTTTATATTTCAGGGAAAATCCCCAACTGGAAAGTGCTATGAATAATACGAATATCAAATAACAAGGTCTAATATAGTAAAGCTCGGTGTAGTTATTCTATAATACGTACAATACATCAGCCAAATCATAAAATTATCCAAAGAAGCTAACAATATAAAAAATATATACATGTACACTTACTTTGGATGCCATCTGTTTTCTCTTCCGTCTTTCATTTCCATGGCCTTCTTTTGTGCTTCCCAAAACACTTTCAAGTCTGGGTTCAGTTCATTCTCGTCAATATTACTAAACATCGTATTAAAGTCGTTGCTATCTTCTTCTGCAAATGTGTGCATGTTATCTATAATATCCTGCTTGAATCGTTCACGACGTTCACAATTTATGCGCCTTCTCTTTTCTTGTTGTAGTTTTCTTTGAGCTCCTCTTCGCCCATGTACGTTTCCCTCTTTTGTGGTGCGAAAAGAGCTTTCTCTTTGCACGCATGACTTTCTTTCAAACTTTTATAGTATGAATTGTGCTTTATTGTAGAACAGCCGCAGCACATCTTTTCATGAACAGAGAAAATATATGCACAATTAATTGCTCGGTGTCGCAGTGATGTCGACTCGCTATCTAATAAATTTGACCACCGTTCTGTCAATCCTACAACATTTCCAGATTTATCAGTAGTTTTTTTGTCCACTTCAACGGAAAAGCCATTACATATTGGAACGCTGAACAAGTAGGAAAAAAGACCATCTAAATAATATTGACACGGATGACTGTACAATGATCCTCTAATTGGGTCTAACTTCGTGTGACCCAATGAAAAATTTGAACGAAAAATTGTTGAAAATCATCAGAGACTTCACGACTCTTTCGCCATTGCAAGAATCGCAGGATACATTTATCCACTCCACGTATTCATCAGTTTCCTTTGCCTTTGATAGTGTCCACTTGTTCGCGAACATTGCTTCGGGAGATACAGTGGCGTAACTAGAACGATAATTGGGGGGGGGGGTGAATATTCATATATCCAGTTCTGCCCTACGGATTTCTTTTGTAATTGCAATAGCCTACAATAGAAATCCGTCGGGCAGAACTGAATATATGAATATTCATCCCCCCAATTATCGTTCTAGTTACGCCCCTGCGGGAGAATAATTTTTAACATCATCCCAGCTCAGAAATTTTTGTGTTGATTCAACAACACATATTCCTTCGTACACTGGTTCACGTTTCGTCATCCCATCTTTAGTAACAGTTATTTTGGCTTTTTTTATTGTGGGAAATACACGCTTTATAATCCGCCCGAGCTCGTGTTCTTTCAAAGGACGATTATTCTCTTTCGATGTTGTAGATAAAAGCACTTGATTAACATCGTCGGTTAATTTAAAAACTGAAATGTTATGTGTGCCATGACACATCATATACGTCTTTAACATCCTATCAGATATTAAATATCACCATAAATTTGTTACGCTTTGTGTGTATATTAGACCGTCACGCTAAAGTGGACAGTTTACGCATCGCTGAGCAATGATATAAAGAAAAACACTTACCAATTAATTATACGTCTTTCTTTTAACGCATTTGCTTTATTACGCACAGTTGTATCAACGATTTCTTCAAATTCCTGCAAAACCCTGTCACCACCGAGCATCATTGTTTGAAGTTTAAATTTCGCGCGTTTTTGGTTTCGGCATAAACCTGATGACTCCCGACAATATACGAGCTGTCCAGGCTATATGCGCGCGGAGGCTGCGGAGCGGAGCACATGATTTCATCCCTTTATTCTTTTTCCCCTCCCAGCGTGTGCCCTGACGTCACTTGTTGCGCTCGCGGTCCAACACATCAGTGCTTAAGGCTCCACGCTGCAGTACTTCATGTACGTTTATAACAAAGTTGCAATTCATGTAGACTGTTGTCAAATTTACCTCGGAATTTACTTTTTAAATTCAACTGAAGGTTGTTTTTCTCGTCGAATATATTCCTAAATTCAACTGCAAGTCGTTTCTTGTCATCTTTTGCAGCATTAGTTTTTAAAGCGATATTTTAATAACAAACGCTAAGGCGGGCACCCTGTGATAATTCTCGATGTCTTGCCACCTGCACGACATTGAAAATTATCCGTTGTTGACGTAATTTTTGCCGCCATAGTTTGTTGTCAATAATATGGCGCAAGCTTCCTCTCTAAAAAGGAAACAATTATTGAATTTGGTTTTCGCATGATATCGAGAATTATCAAGCCTCAATTTGCGTTATCCGCCTCAAATTGGCGTGCCTATATATAGTTATCTTTTTTTATAAAAAGATATTTTCACTCCTAAAAAAAAGCTGTGTATTAAAAAAATTGTGCGCATGCGGGGTCGATGATGAATCCCTTCCAAAAAATTCACATAACATTTCATATATGAAATATGAGTTTCATATATGAAATGAACATGATCATATTATATGAAATGAAAAACTTCATATATGAAATTTGATTTTGACATAAGTAAAGTGGTTTTCAAATATCAAATGCTGCCTTCATATATATAATTTCACCTTCACATGTGAAAAGTAAAGTTCATATATGAAATTTCTTTCACACGTGAGATAGTAAAAAGTTCATAATGTATCAGTTTTCATTTTCATATAATTTTTGCGTCTTTTTTCGTATTTTTGCATATTACCCATTTGGGCTTTGGTATTAAAGGAATTTTGGTCATTAGTACCCTCTTCCCCCCGAGCATGTTGTTCCGATGATACCGTTATATTTAAAACTAGGAAAATTACAGCGGATTCCGTTTAACTGCAAGACAACAAGCGTTCGCAACGCATGTTGGGCCGTTTAATATATGACATTTAAAAAAGTCACATGCACAGTTTCCAAGGAATGGGCGGAGCGTTTCATTTCTACTTTAACACAGTTGCAGTGTTATTGAAAGAAAGTGCTTTGAAGAAGGTGCTTGTTTTAAAAGAAAGTGCTTTCCCATGACTGTAGGATTGCCCTTTCGTATTGACTTTCCACATTTTAAAAGACTGCAAGCATTTCGAATTTGTCTACATGCAAGATGCGCGCCAAAACCGTGTGAGTCTCAAAATTCAAACATCACATTCTAAACGACCCAACATGCCTTGCGAACGCTTGTTATTTTGCAGTCGACCGGAATCCGTTGTACAAGTGAGTATGGTTGTTGTATCTCAAAATTCGTAATGCATGCAGTTGTATCAAAATTCGTAATGCAGTTGTATCTCAAAATTCGTATCTGGACTGTCAAACGAGTTTACTGGTCAAACCCTATGATCGGATTAATCGGCATTGCTCGTAAACGGTATATAATTATGTGATTCGTACATGTATGTATCCGTGTGGAATAGTCCAAATATAGATATAAATAAGATATGTGGTTAAGCTGTAGTTAAGCTGTGTTCATGTGGTCTATTAAATAATTATTTTAATGAAGTTGTCAGGTATTTATTGTTTGTGTTGACCAGCTGACTTGATCTTCATATATAAGAAGTGACTAATTGACCGGCAGACGGTAACATTTCGGGGTTATCTTATAAACCACGGTAATCACTGATGAATCACGGGTAATTTGTTCAATTTATATTGATAGAAAACTAGCACAATAGCCAACTCAACAAGTACAATAAATGTTTTTTACCTTGATATGCAAAGATAGAGTCTACAACAAAATATTTAATGCATAATATTCAAGTTGACTCATTCTAGAGAGATGAAAGAGTGTTATTTAATTTTGACTTATCCACCGTTTAAGCTAAACGAGCTTGATACAACCGGCCCCAGAGCAGTGAAGATAGTAACAAGGAATGCTAGGTGCAAACAGATAAAGTATGAAATCATGAAAAAATGGCATGCAAAGCAAAAATAAAATTGAGCTTGATAAGTGTTCTTCTTTAAATGTTAGCTAAATTGTTTTTTTTAATTATATAGGTAAACATGTCTGTGTATTTAACACTTTTGTATTCAGTACATTTTTATTGTATAAAACCTCATAAGTTTATTCCAATAAATTTTCAATCCATACATTGAAATTCACTTATATGCAGCTATTTTATTATCTTCTAACTTTTTCATATGTGACGATACGAAAATATTCTTGATAAAAATATATAGCAAATATTCTTGGTTAAAAATCATATCAATATGGAATGATTTCACATCTGAAACAATTGCACATGTAAAATTTTCATATAATTTATGAAATAATTTCACATGTGAAATTTTCATATATGAAGTGCCTCAATTCCACATAAG